AATCAACATAAAGTCCAAGAAAATGTTTCTAAAGCAAAAATAAATGTGAGACGCTTACTTGATTCTCCCACTGATTTGATACGTTGATTGATTCTTGATATGAAGCCGAGAGGTTCGAGTTCTCCTCAAAAAGCCTCTCTATTTCAGATGATTGGTTGTCAATCTCCATGAGAAGTTTTTGCCTACTACTCTCTAATCTTTCAAGTGCAACAGCCATATCATGCAACTGCTTCTCGAGTTTTTCTTTATCTTCCTACATGAAAACCATCAAACCTAAAACTAAGGGATTCCATAAAACGTGAACGCTGATATGCTTGCAAGTGGCAAAATGGGTTATAACATTTTCTTACCACTGACAATGCCTTTTGACCAGACTCTGATACTTCTGCATAATAAATACCACCGAAAAAGTCATTGATATGTATCCAACAATGCACAAGTCGGTAAAAAAATATCTGAATGACTCAAAAGCATTTAGACGTCAGCTAGTGCTTTCAAACACCTGCTGATTGTAACACCTGCAACTACAAACTTGCTTCCGAAAAAAAAAGAATTCTGTGTCATTGCATGTTACCTGAGGCCCTGCTAGATAAAACTGAAATCTTCTGTTCCAGTTCCTGCTTTTCAGACATTAAAGAAGCTACTCGAGTTTGTTCTTCAGCTAAACGCTGTTGTTCTTGCTGCCTTAACACTGATTCTTTCTGTGTACGTTAAGAACATTATTATCTTAGATAAATAGACTCTCACGGGGAACCTATTATCTGTTTCAAAATAATTTAAACCTGTAATTCTAGTTTTAGGTTAGCCATCTCCTTTTCTAATATTGGTAGTTGGTCTGAGGAAACTCCCATTGGCGACAGGCCAGTAAACGAAGTACCCATTGCTTGCTGTTGTATCGAGTTAAGCTCTGCTCTCAGAGATGCCGCATCTTCCTCAGCCTATCAACAATGGGTTATGGTATCTCTAAATAAAGAAGAAAGGGAAATTTAAATTTGGAAGGCAAAAAATTGTTCCATACTCGATATTGTTCCTCCTCTGCCTCTTTAACACGTCTCTTAAGAGTCCTAACTTGAGCTGAGAGATCCTCCTATAAACAATAGCTACGCCAATCAAACATGCAATCAAGGAGGAGATAATTTTTGCACCAAAAGAACTAAAACAAGTGTACTCCCTACTCGTAAAACAACAGCAGCATCTTTCTCCATTGCAATTTCCTTAAGGGCTTTTCTCAGAGATGGCACTGTGTTTTGTTCCTGTTATTCATCCACAAGGGCATATGTCAAGACATCTTGAATCATTTTTCATATTCCATGTCAAGCCTCACAAACCAGGAATGGATAACATCACAAATAGAAGTTTACTTGTTACATACCAGCACATTCAACCGAGTCTCAAGTGATTCATTCTCAACTTCCTTTGTTTGAAGCTGAATCCCACAGACAAAAAAAAACACATCATGAATACAGTTTAATCAAAATAAAAACATAGGATCTGATAACTAGCAAGGCAAAGAGGTAACTAATACCTTTG